TAATATATAGAGAAAAAATTAGCCGGGCATGGTGGTGCATGCCTGTAGTCCCAGCTACTCGGGAGGCTGAGGCAGTAGGATTGCTGGAGCCCAGGAGTTTGAGGTTGCTGTGAGCTAGGCTGACACCACAGCACTCACTCTAGCCTGGGCAACAAAGTGAGACAGTGAGACTCTGTCTCAAAAGGTCAATTGATGGAGAGGAACAAGGTGAGAAAAAAGGACTGTTAAAAGCAAAAATAACCAAACAGTAATGTGAGTTGGCTGAAGCAAGGCAGATGTGTTAGAAAAGGGATGAACATAGCTTACAGCTCCTAGAAAAAGAACATTATCGATATGAAAATTATAATAGTTGGCTTTTCCCTTTCATATGATTTCTCAAAAAGTAATACATTACACAGGAAGATGTTGGCCACTTCAGATGTATGGAAGAGTTTTTTAGGGAACTTACTGTCTTTGCCTAGAATATACTTGATATAGGATCTGAGAAGAGATTTTGTTCAGAAAATATGAACTTTTTTGAAAGCAGCTGTTGAATAATTGAGGTGCTATTTATTGTGAAGCCTTGAAAATGTAGAGAACTTTAGATTTTTAAAGGTTAACTTACTTGATAAGTACACCTTAGTATGAGCAAATGTACGGTTCAACATGACAGTAACAAATGAAAGTATAATGCTTTGATTAAAAATCCAGGTCTTGCTGTGCAGCTAGCTGACACCACCGCACTCACTCTATTCCTGGGCACAAGTGAGCAGTGGAGAAAAATTAGCCAGGTGGTGGCATGAGCCTGTTGTTCCAGCTACTCGGGAGGCTAAAGCAGGAGGACTGCTTGAGCCTAGGAGTTTGAGGAGTTTGAGTGAGCTATGATGATGCCACTACACTCCAGCCTGGGTGACAGGGTGAAACGCTGTCTCAAAATAAAGAAAACAGAAAAAAAATCTTAAGAGATATTTCTATACCAGCATAAATTGATTTATCTCATTCTTTTAATAGCTGAATGATATCCTAATGCATAATTATAGAAGGATATTTTTTATTTTTCCCATTATACAATGAATATACTTATTATAGAAAAATCCAGAAAATATAGAAAAGTACCACAGCCCAAAGGAAACCAATGTTAACATACTGATATATTTTCTTCCAGGACTTTTCTTATATAAGCATTCTTAACATTGTTTTCATAATATAATTTTGAATTTTAAAAGAAAAGGGTATTTCTTTTAAAATTATTTTGTTACCTTTGGCTTTGAAAAACTACTATATTCAGGTGTTAAGTAGTTTGCCCTCATCCAAGCACAGACTGGTTTTCATTTTTTCTTTAGATTCTTATGAATATTTAAGCTCTGAGACTGTGGTTGTTCAAACCTCTCATGTTTATTTACCAAGAATGCTTTCCTCAGTTAAAATTTAAATTTATAATGGGTTTGTATTTGAGTGAATTCAGATTAGATTTTTTTTCTATTTATCCATTAACCTAGCCATATGTCTTTGTGTGGACCAAATTATATTCTTATTATAAGTAAAGTATGGATATTATTTGTGTTTTGTTGGCATTTTAATGACATATATTAATTGTGTTACAATCAGCTCTGGGTTTATCAAGCAAATATGTGATCATTTCTGAGTTAGTGATTTCACTCATTAAAATGTTTCTTATTCAAATTCTGTCAGTGTAAAATGCTTATTTGTTTTAGGCATTGCAATTCCATCTCGAGATATTCTCTACACTACTCTGGGAACTCTGATTAAAGAAAGGAAGATTTATCACACCGGAGAAGGATACTTCATAGTCACCCCTCAGACTTACTTCATTACAAACACAACCACCCAGGAAAATAAGAGAGTCTTCCTATCAGAAGAAAGTCGCCCAATGCCAACTTCCATGACATATCTGGTGAGCGTGGAGAGCTGCACAGAGTCAACCCAAGAGAATGCTGTCCCCATTTCCCATTGTCAGTCTTGTCGGTGTTGCCCTGACACATGCACCCAGGATGTTCAGGAACCACCAGGTGCCGCAGAAGTGACTAGAAAAGGCCAGAAACGTCTTGGGGAATTCAAACCTTGGGCACAGAATGGGGCAGTTTCAGCGTCTGAGGAGAATCACGTCTGTGAGAGCACCAAACCTTTACTGTACACGAGAGACAGAGAAAAAAGCAAGAAGTTTGGTTTTAGTTTCTTGTGGCGTGGCATATCCAGAAAGGAAAAACCCAAAACAGAACACAGCAGTTTCTCTGCTCAGTTCCCACCTGAAGAATGGCCTGTGCGAGATGAGGATAACTTGGACAATATCCCTCGAGATGTTGAACATGAGATTATCAAACGAATTAACCCCATTCTGACTGTTGACAACTTAACCAAACACACCGTCCTAATGCAAAAATATGAAGAACAGAAAAAATACAATAGCCAGGGCACTTCCACTGATATGCTGACAATCAGGCATAACTATCCTTCAAAAGAGGGAGTTAAGAAAAGGCAGGGTCGGTCTGCAAAGACTCGAGGGCGGGGCCGTTCTCATAGGGATAGACACAAAGCCAGGAATCAGGGAAGTGAACTTCAGCCAGGAAGCATTAAACTGGAAAAACACCCTAAGCTCCCTGCTACACAGCCCGCCCCTAGAACCAAAAGCCCTAATGAAGCAGTAGTTCAGAAACCACTTGGTGAGAATCTAGCAGTGCTAGGTTCCCATTTGATTTATAAAAAGCGAATCAGTAATCCTTTCCAGGGTTTGTCTCACCGAAGAAGCCTAATAACCAAAGGGCACAACATTCACAAGACTAGTGATCTAAAACTCACTCAGGCTGGACCAAAGGAAAAATCTTTCCAAAGGTCAAGGTCTTTAGATTCCTCAAGAACCTTTGATGGTGAAGCCAGACAGCCATATGCTGAACAATGTAATGATAAATTTAAAGCAGAATCCGTTTTTATGAATCGCTCTACTGTCAAACCCGTAAGTGATGATGACTTCAGAGATCACCTCTTAAATTACCCTCAACGTACTGTTTTCCAAAATAATGGTAAACGCTGTTCCTTTAGGGAAACCATGTTGAGATATGAGGTGTGTGATGGAGAAAATGAGGTAATCCCTGAAGTCTTGAGGGACTTTGACAAATTAGGAGAGACCAAAGAAACACTATATAGCCTGTCATCACAAGGTTCCTCGACTTTAGACCAAACATCCTCTGCTTGCAGGTTAATTGATAAGACAATACACCAGTTTCAAAATCTTAGCCTTTTGGATTACCCACTTGGTGTGAACCATTTGAGACAACCTGAGAGACAAGACAGAGACTCAGAAGAATTAATGAGAAAGGCATTTGTCCAGGATGCAGAGACAGAGAGTCTAAAAAATGAAGGGCTTTCTGATGAAGACCAGGCCTTATATCAGAATGAAGTGGAAGATGATGACGGTGCCTGCAGCTCATTATATCTAGAGGAGGATGACTTCTCTGAGAATGATGACTTATCTCAAATGCTGCCTGGCCACATTCAGTATTCCTTTACAGGTGAGAGCAAGGGGAATCATTTAGGAAAACAAAAAGTGACTGAGAGATCTCTGACTGAGTACAATAGCAAAATGGATAGGTTTGAGCCTCAGATGCTTAAAAGAAATGAATGTTACAAACCTGCTAGGTTGCTCAGTAACCCAGGGGAAAGCCAAAAACCTAATTTCTCTGCTGAAAGCTGTGGCCTAAATTCAGGGACCCGATTTGGTTTTAACTATGAAGAAGAACCCAGTGTGGCTACATGCGTCCCAGCCTCAGCAGCTGATGGAAGTGTATTTGATTACCATAGCACACGAAAAGCCAGTTCTGAAGCTGAACCCCTACAGGACTCTGTTGGTGACACAGAAAGGAAACCAGCTAGCTGGAATCAGAGTCCTCAGAATCAGGAAATGAGAAAACATCTCACTCAAAAGTTGGAACTTTTCAGCACTTCACATATACCAGTGTTGGCTCAGAATATCCAACATGAACACAGTCACTTGGAAGGAACAGAAAATCATAGCATGGCAGGAGATAGCGGGATAGATTCTCCACGGTAAGTGCATGTAAAAGTATTTCATTAGCTACTATCCCACAGGAATTATTAAAACCAAAGGCATATTGAGTTACCTAGTGAGAAACTCCTGAATCAACTTTTATAATGATACAATCCTGCCCACCTTTACTGAATAAATTGCATAAAGTTACAGTGAAAATCTCTTAAATAGTAGGTAATTTTCCAATGTGAACCAAATTTGACAGCTCCACTATTCATAAATCTTGAATTATTTCTAGAAACAGAAAGGAACTACTATAAACCAAGCACTTTCTGAATTGAGAGTTGGAAGTTTTCATTTATATTCCTGGGTCTACCCAGTTTGAGGAAGGGATGTGGCTATTTTCCGCTAATGTTTTTCACTCCAATTTGTTTAAATAATATTGTTTGGATGATAAAAGTAATATAGTCATGACAGAACATTTAAGAAGTACTGGAAAATATTTTATAAAACACCTGTAATCATCCTGCCATCTAGATATTTTTACATTGCTTTTTAAAATTTTAAAATTTTGTTTATTTTTAAAAAGATGAGATCTTATTATGATGCCCAGGCTGGAGTGCAGTGGCTATTCACAGCTGTGGTTATAGCTCACTACAGCATTGAACTCCTTCCTGGGCTCAACTGGTCTTCCTGCCTCAGCCTCCTAAGTAGCTGGGACTACTGGCATGTGCCACCGCACCTGGCTTAGATATTTTTTAAAAATCCTCTTGTATTTGGTGTATTTCTCTCTAATACTTCAGTCTTAGCATATATGTATTTTGTCTGTTGGGCTCATACTGAGTTACTATTTTGCTTATTGCTTTTTTCAATTAATAGTATATTATGTATATTCTTCCCATGTTATTAAATAATTTCTAAAAGGTCATCCTAAAAATTTGGTGTCTAACTTTATTAGATTTGGTTATTATATAAAGTTATTATATGTTTCCTTTTGAAAAATTAAAGTAATACAAAATTATAGAAAGTAAAACTAGAAGTCTCCATTCCCTGACCTTTTCCATTCCCTTTCCATAGAGATGACCAAAAATTGTTAACCATTTTGTATATATTCTTTCAGACTTTTTTATATGCATTTATAAATATAAATATTTTTAACAACAAATCATACACAACTATTGCTTTCTTTTTTCACCTAATTTATCATGGATATCCTGCAATTAATACATATAGATCTAGCTTGTTCTTTTTAATGGCTGCTTAGTACTCTCTTATGTGGACTCCATTATTTATTATAACCATTATTTTCCTTTTGTTGACTTTTAGATTATTTCTAATTTTTGGCTATTAATAAATCAATCTGCAGTGAATTATTTTTACATATAAATGTTTGTGAGCATTTCTGACTATTTACATAGGATAAATTCCTAGAACTTTATATTTTCTAAACATATCATTACATCTTTATTGGAGCAACAAGATCTTTTTGGCTTGAAATAATAATTTCATTCACATTACGTATATAAAAGAATCAAAAAATGTTGTCTTCAAAAGTAAACAATGGCTAGGCACAGTGCTAATGCCTGTAATCTCAGCACTTTGGGAAGCTGAGGCAGGAGGATTGCTTGAGGCCAGAAGTTTGAGACCAGTCTGGGCAATATACAAAGACCCCATCTCTAAAAAGTTAAAAAAAAAAAAAAAATTAAAAGCAAACAATGTTGGTGTAAACCAACAAGACATGGGTTCTTTTCTTTTTCTCTCTGGCAAAAACAAAATAAAATAACAGATTAGGGAAATTACTTCTTAACATACAATTGAGAATTTTAGTTTGCAAAATTTTGAGGGTTTTGTTTTTGTTTTTGTTTTTGAGACAAGGTCTTGCTCTGTCACCCAGTCTGGAGTATAGCAGTGCAATCATAGGTCAGTGCACCCTCAAACTGCTGGGTTCAAGAGATCCTCCTGCCTCAGCCTCTCAAGTAGCTGGGACTATAGGAGTGCACCACCATGCCTGGCTAATTTTTAAAATTTTTGTAGAGATATGGTCTTGTTATATTGCCCAGGCTAGTCTCAAACTCCTTGCCTCAAGCAGTCCTCCTTCCTTGGCCTCCCAAAGTGCTGGGATTATAGGCATGAACCACTACTCCTGGCCACAAATTTAATTTCTTTTTTTTTTTCTTTTTTTTTTTCTTTTTTTGAGTCAACGTTAGTGAGAAACACAAATTTAATTTCTTAAAAGTTGCCTACATATTTTTCTTGAAAGACTGCATAATCTATAATCATTAAAGACATTTAGAGGAAAGGGGAGGGAAAATAACATTTGAACATCAGCTATGTGCCATAATTTTTCTAAGGATTAGGGGGGAAGAGATGAACAAGACATTGTTGCTATCTACAAGATTACAATTTAGTCCAGTTGAGGAGACCAACAGACAGGTTGAATGCAAGAACAAAGTAAAAACTCATCATAACAGTCAAAGAGATGTGGAATTAACAGTGATAGGCTGTATGGGGGAAGACTTATAGGAGGACACACTTTTGAGATATATCTTAATATAATGGTCAATTGGCCGGGTGCGGTGGCTCACGCCTGTAATCCTAGCACTCTGAGAGGCCGAGGCGGGCGGATTGCTCGAGGTCAGGAGGTTGAAACCAGCTGAGCAAGATGGACCCCATCTTTACTATAAATAGAAAGAAATTAATTGGCCAACTAATATATAGAGAAAATTAGCCGGGCATGGTGGTGCAGCGCGTAGTCCCAGCTACTCGGGAGTGAGGCAGAAGGATTGCTGGACTCAGGATTGAGGTTGCTGTGAGCTAGGTGACCACGCACTCACTCTAGCCTGGGCAACAAAGTGAGACAGTGAGACTCTGTCTCAAAAGGTCAATTGATGGAGAGGAACAAGGTGAGAAAAAAGGACTGTTAAAGCAAAAATACAAACAGTAATGTGAGTTGGCTGAAGCAAGGCAGATGTGTTAGAAAGGTGAACATGGCTTACAGCTCTGAAGAAAGAACATTTCAATATGAAAATATAATAGTTGGCTTTCCCTTTATATGATTTCTCAAAAAGTAATACATTACACAGGAAGATGTTGGCCACTTCAGATGTATGGAAGAGTTTTTAGGGAACTTACTGTCTTTGCCTAGAAATACTTGATATAGGATCTGAGAAGAGATTTTGTTCAGAAATATGAACTTTTTTGAAAGCAGCTGTTGAATAATTGAGGTGCTATTTATTGTGAAGCCTTGAAAATGTAGAGAACTTTAGATTTTTAAAGGTTAACTTACTTGATAAGTACACCTTAGTATGAGCAAATGTACGGTTCAACATGACAGTAACAAATGAAAGTATAATGCTTTGATTAAAAATCCAGGTCCTAGGCCGGGCGTGGTGGCTCACGCCTGTAATCCTAGCACTTTGGGAGGCTGAGGCGGGCGGATTGCTCAAGGTCAGGAGTTCGAACCAGCCTGAGCGAGACCCCGTCTCTACCAAAAATAGAAATAATTAATTGACAACTAAAAATATATATACAAAAAATTAGCGGGCATGGTGGTATGCTGTAGTCCAGCTACTCGGGAGGCTGAGGCAGTAGGATCACTGAGCCCTGGAGATTGGAGTTGCTGTGAGCTAGGCTGACTGCCACGGCACTCACTCTAGCCTGGGCAACAAAGTGAGACTCTGTCTCAAAAAAAAAAAAAAAAAATCCAGGTCCTTGGCTGGGCATGTGGCTCACGCCTGTAATCCTAGCATTCTGGGAGGCCGAGGTGGGTGGATTGCTCAAGGTCAGGAGTTCTGGACCAGCCTGAGCAAGAGCGAGACCCTGTCTCTACTATAAATACCATCTTTACTATAAATAGGAATAAATTAATTGGCTAACTAAAAAATATACGTATATAAATTAGCCGGGCATGGTGGTGCATGCCTGTAGTCCAGCTACTCAGGAGGTGACAGAGGAGGATTGCTTGAGCCAGGAGTTGGAGGTTGCTGTGAGAAAGCTGATGCACGGCAATCTACGTCGGCAACAGAATGGAGACTCTGTCTCAAAAAAAAAAAAAAAAAAAAAATTCCAGGTCCCTTTTGAAGACAATAATCCTGTTATTTTTAATATCTTTAGGACACAAAGTCTGACATCCAATAATTCAGTCATTTTGGATGGGATTGAAAAGAAGACAGAATTTTCTGCAGAACTTTGAAGGCACAAAGAGCAGTCAAACACTCACATCCAATTCCTTATTACAACTAACTCCAGTCATTAATGTTTAATTTTCTTTTGGAAAATTTTTTTTTGTAAAAATGTACAGCATTACTATAGACTCTTTCAATCAACTATTATAAGAATCTTCAAAAGCTAAGTATAAATATGCAATTAACCTTACTACATAGTTTGTTCTAATTATTGCCTTTTTTCCTTTTTTGGTATTTTAAAGTTTTTTTTTTTTTTTTTTTTAATGAATGAGGCAATTTATTAACCCAGCATCATTTGTTCTAATGCTTCTTGTTGGCAGCTGCCACCTGTCCGGCGATTCTGTCCAGGGTATTTTAAAGCTTTTTAAAGCTTATTTTACTATGAATTTATTGGGAATATGTAGATTGTTTGCAATAAAAAACATGTAATCATTAGTCCCCTTCCAATTAAATGTAATTAACTTGAATTTTTAGATATTCATTCATTTCTCAAATACATAGGCTACTAATTTACTACCCAGTAGAGAATTTTTTTTTTTTTACCTACACTAATACTGAGTTCTGTGTTAAGTGGATCTCACCAAATTTCAACACAAAGTCTTAGAACACTGTGTGTGTTTGAGGGTTGTATGGATACTCTGCAACTGAAGTCTTATTGTTATCACAAAGAATTTATATAAATGGTGTTTGCTACTTTGTAACAAGAATTCCTTTATCAAATCATTGCTGCCCAGAAACTTCTCTTTGACCAGCTTGGACATGAACAAATGGCTCCAAATGTGACTGACTGACAAGGTCCAAAATTCCTGTGGCAGTAGACATCTGGCTCTACCACTCTGGGTCCTTCCTACATTTTACATTTCAAGCTCTCTCTAGAGCATGGCAATGAAAAGTCAGATGGTAGAGATAGAAGGGCAATGGTTACCAAATGGCTTGTGAGTAAAAGGGAGGTTCTGAATCAGAGATTAAGAGAAAAGATGGAAAATGGCTGGTAGATGTTTAGCAGTTCATCTACATTTAGATCCATTTCTGTTTGTGATATGACCTAGATAGCTTTGCCAGAATTTTTTCCAGCAGACCTTTTCAGACTGAGTATTGGAATGGTCAGTTCTCTTGGGTTTGGGGAACATGGAGAAATCAAGACTGGTTTTAGCACCCCGGGTAGATGGGGTGGATGATGGTGCTGTTTTATGGTTGAGGGGATGTTTTTTCTAAGAGGTTTCTAAGGATTGTCAATGCCTTAAAGCTCAAGGATAATTGAATAATTAGAGAGTACCTCTTTCCAGCTCTTACCATCCTGATAACAGTGAGGGGCAGAGTGAAGCCCAGCACCATGGGGAGCTGCATGTAAGCCCTGTGGGTGTGCAAAGGAGAGGAGGTCTGAGTCACTGCTCTGTTTTGCAGTGGTGAGACCACTCACTCCTGACAGTTTGTTTTCAGTGGGCCCCAACCAACCTATGATGGCATTCCAAGAAGATTAGTCATGGTCACAAGGACATCGTAAACCCTGCTTAGAGTACCAAGTGGGGTAATCTGCCATAGAAAAGACTTTATAGGACAGGTTAGAGGTGGGGAAATTGTTTTAGGGGGCCTACAGCATGGAATCAGCACCAGCAAATGAAGTTAGGACAAAGATTTCAACTCAGTTTGCAGAACTTCCTGTTAGACAAAACTATCTGAAGATGAAGTAGGCAGCTTTGTAAAGTCATGAATTCCCATTATTTAGGGCATTCAAGCAGATGCTTGGTGATTTCTTCACTGGTATGTTGCAGAGGAATTTCCAATATTTAGCTTAATGGATTGACCCTTGTGATTTTGAAGACTCCTTCCAACTGTGAGGATTTATGCTTATAAGATTTAGTGAGGGTCATGTGAAATATTGAACTCATCCAAGATTCCCGAGTATTGCTTCCAGGTCTCCATTTCTGTGCATATCCCTGCCAGCCCTGAGAAAAAGGAGCACCAACAACTGTGTTTCATTTTTGACTTTCTCGTAGAGTGAGGAATCCAACGTCTCTTGGGGCTCTAGCTACAACTAGGTACCAATGAAATCCATCTAATTTTGTGACTGGAGGCATATGACACTAATTAGATGTATTAAATGAAGCACGCCCATTACAAAACCAATAAACTTCTCTTCTCCTACAAAACTCATCATATAACACAGATATTAAAGATGAGAATATGTGCTATTAAATTGTCATTTGGAAAATTATTCTATAAAATAGGTGACCTGCATTTTTTCCCTCAATAATCGCTTTTTTGTGGAAATGTTAGTTCTTTATTTCACTTTTCTATTACAGTCTGTTCTCTAATGAGAAAACAGTTTTCTTGAGGCAGCTTAATGATCTCAGCTTAGGATTCAGACACAAGTTTGAATCCCAGTCCCATCCTGGGTAGCTGTGTGATACACCAAGTTATCAAACTTCTCCGATTCAGCTTTCTCATTTGTAAATAAGTAACGATAGCTACTTTACAGGATTATTGTGAGATTTAGGGATGATCTACCAAAAGTGTCCAATGTAGGAAGTACCTAATATTGTTATAAATATATATATGTGTATAATTTTAATATATTTATATAGACACAAACCACGCCTGATAGGTAAATACATTGCCCACTATACAGGTCTCCTGTTTTTGTTAGTTTGTCTGGAATTTCTCCATTACAGATTTAGTCTTTTGGGTAAAGATTACAGAATGTATCTTCTATCAAAATCCAGGTATGCTTGGGGGAGGTGTTATGTCTTAAGCTAACAAGTTTATAGTTAATACCTTATTTTATAAATAGGAATAAAATATGCAAACTATGGGTTTACTGTAAACATTCATACAATGTGAGATACTGTTTATCTTCTCCCATCTGGGATCTCAGACTCCTGGGAGTCCCCTAAAGAGTAGCTGAACTTTTTACAAGCTATTTTCAATGTTTCAAAAATACTAATAGAAATCGTACATTTCCTTAGCCTAACTTTAACTTCTTGCTAACTAAAACATTAAGTTTCTTTGCGAGTGGTTGAAATTACACCAGCTCATTAATGTAATCCTATCCCATGCTGGTGTGACACTGTTGAACTGCATTTGTGTTTTATTCATAGATTAGAAGAATCACCATGAATTATTACTAAATGCAATTTAGCAGACAAAATATTTCAAAATGTCAAATCCGTGGGAAAAAATAATGGAAAGAGCCTATAGAAGTGAAAAGATTGGGAACCACTGCATTTTGAGTATAGCTACTTGAGAAGGTTTTGGGAAAAACAGGCTATTGCTTAACAAGGGTGGGGGAAGAGAGAAATCAGAGTCATGAAACAAGAATGGGGGTATATATCAAATACAAACTCATGACTAGTTTGCCGGTATCTCACATATCTTTCTCCCTCTTTAACAAGCAGCTTCCAAACATTTCTTGGATAATAGTGCCCTCTTCTGGGATGACTGAGGTACCTCTGAAACCCGGGATTCAAAACATCTACAAAGTAATTGACTAAAGAAACAGCAAGATGTCTCTCCAATGGTTAAACATTTAAAAAGCTGTTCTAAAGATTTGAATTATGAGCTAGATATACATACATAAATATACATGTGATAAATGTGCTCAAATATGGCTGCTTTTAATGCTGTCAAAACCTCAAGTGAAGATAAGCATCTCTGTACCTTACTTCTGTAGTGTTATTATATCAAATGATCCAATTTCCTACACTATTAGCATTATTGTCCTCATTTTACTAACAATAGATTTTATAGTTGAGTTGGCCAAGGTCACATGACAATGGGAAAAACACCCTCTTCCCTCTCATTGTTTTTATAATACTTTCTTGAACTCCTGACCTTGAATGATCCTCCTGCCTTGGCCTCCCAGAGTGCTAGGGCTACAGGTGTGAGTCACCAGCCCAGCATTGTTTTTATAATGCTTTCTTTCTGCTTTTTCCTTTGTACTCTTAACAGTCATTCTGTGCCCCCATTGTGTCTTAGTCAATTTATAATAATGGCTCTCTTGTTACATAAGATTGGCATGCATTGATTCCATCTTCTATGGTGAATAAAAAAAGAATTGGCATGCAGATGTAAAATGTTGTATTTGATGGCTATTTTTACCTTTTACTTTCAAATTATGGAGTAAAAATAAAAATCTAGCCTTATAGTTTTGAAAATGATCAGAGAGGCAAATTTAGAAATAGCCATCTTGTTTTTATATCTTAAAGGTAACAGAGTTTAAATGAGCTGAGGCCAAAAGCAAAGGAAATCTTTATTCAACCTTGGAACAAAGAGTAGCAGGAAAAGCACTCAACTTTTTTGCAAAAGGAAGTATATCCGTGACTCTAGTAAGATATTTGGAAGATAAAGATGTTCTTTTAAGATTATATTTTGAATTACTGTTCATTTTAATTATTCGTGTACATTATTGCTTTCCCTCATGCTTCCAAATCTCATCATCAGATACATATCTCGAGATTTATAGAAGGAGCAAATATGAAGAAAAAAATTTTCTATGCCTGGCCTAAGTTTTCCAAGTTGATTGAGGCAAGATGATACCCTCTGAGAACTCCTATAGTGCAGAACCCAAATGTTTTTCAGCTAAGCCACTCCTTGGTCAAGTTACTCATGCATCAGTTTACACTTGCCCTTTCCACAGACAGCAGCTAAGGATTTGAGTTCAGTGAGTTTAGGGCTTAGAAAGGCAGAGTTTATAGTGTTGCAAGTCACAGAAGGTTATTCTGAAAAACACAAGTATGCTTGTGAGTCACTTGGTTAAGGAGAATGGAACAGTTTAGTCCTTTCCTTCTTCAGACCTGCTCTCAGGACTTCTGACATACAAGTGAATGCCAAAAATAGAGTTCTGAGGAGCTAAAGCTAATTCATCCACGTTTGACCTTCAACCACAAGATACTAACATCTGTTCCTTTTATTCCAGTTTTAGGTGTGGCATTCTTAGCTACATCTACCCTGTGTTTTTATCACATCTTTATACCCTGTTGTAGGGCTATAAAGACTTTACCATGGGAAAATTGGGAATAGGTGTGAGGTATTGGGACAAAAAGATTTAGAAAAGGACAGAACTAGAGATACACAGCTATCCTCATAATCTAGGGAGAAAGGTGCATTTTTCTATCCTCATTAGCTGAACACTCCTACTGTTGATAAGTACTCAATCGATAAGGTGCCCTTGCCTTCAGGCCAATCCTTACCTATGGATAAGGCCTGAAGCAATCACAGATTTAACATTTGTGGTTCCAGCTATTCAGGACCAATTCTCAAACTTCGTGACAAGTAGGGATTTGTAATTTTGCTGAGACGCAAGTTTGACGCTCAGGTTGTAAGGCTGGTGTGCAAGACATTATCAAGTGGTTTGTGAGAATACCCCTGAGCCTACATCTCAATTTAGTTTCTTGTTCTCCACTCAAGAGTAGAGTGGCTGGGTCCAAAAGATCACGAAGAGACATAGAAATGGCTCTGAAAAGAAAGCCAACTAGCCAGTAGCGGTGATGTAAGAAAAGGCATGTTTACCAAGGAAGTTTTCCTTAGTATTGTCAAAGGTTTCAGTTTTGTATAAGATTGTGATTCAGGGGCAGTAAATTCCCATCAGTAAAATTAAGCCCTTTTTAATTCACAGCCAATACATAATCTGTCAAAGACATTTAGGCTTGTTTTCTTTCCGGCCGAAACTGTTAGGTTTCTTTAGGTTTTTCCCACTGGTTTCATGGGAGAATCTTCCCCAAAACACTTTTTTTTTTTTTTTTTGAGACAGAGTCTCACTTTTGTTGTCCAGGCTAGAGTGCCGTGGCGTCAGCCTAGCTCACAGCAACCTCAAACTCCTGGGTCAAGCGATCCTTCTGCCTCAGCCTCCGAGTAGCTGGGACTACGGCATGTCCCACCATGCCCTAATTTTTTTTTATATATATATCAGTTGGCCAATTAATTTCTTTCTGTTTATAGTAGAGACGGGGTCTCGCTCTTGCTCAGGCTGGTTTTGAACTCCTGACCTTGAGCAATCCGCCGCCTCGGCCTCCCAAGAGCTAGGATTACAGGCGTGAGCCACAGCGCCCGGCCCAAAACACTTTTTTTGAAACTCGTTTTCAGGTTGACGTGGCAGAGAAAGCACTGATCTCGGATTCTGAAGATACAGATTCTCTAGTCTTGACTGTGCCATTAACTGACTGTATGACTTCAGATAAATTCCTTTCTCGGATTTAGTTTCCTCTTATGTCAAATAGGAGCGTGTGGACTAAAATGAACAAGGACCAACTGCGTGACTAAAACCTAAGACTTCAGGGACGGTGTCCATCCGGTCCCGGACTTCACTTCAAGCCCATCTGCCTCGCTTCAGACCGCTCGAAGTCCCTTCCCACCAAAGCCAGGCCTCTCTCTGGCCTCGCTCGAAGCCGTTGAACGTTAACGCCTCCCCCGCAATGGGCGGGAGGAAGGGCTGCAGCTTCCGGCGGCGAATGGCAGGACAGCGCGTGGCGGTGTGCGCTCGCCTCGGCACGGCCTGCTGCGTGCGCGGCCCTTTCCGCCGCCGTTAGGGGCTTCCCAGCCCCAGCAGTGCACACTGGGACGCCCCAAAGACTCGCCACGGTGCCGAAGCGAAGTGTTCGGAGTGGGGAGGGGAAGAGACACCGAACCATTTATGCTAATCAGTGCGCACGTCCTTTACGGAGATTGGCCAGGGTTTTCTCTAGAAGCCAATCACTTCAGAACAAGGGTGGG